TGGCATGTGTTCGCGAGGCCTCGCCATGGCGAATCGCCTCGCCTCGTGGCGAAGCTATGGCGAATCGCCTCGCCTTGCCATTCGTCTTTTAAAACTATGGTAAACGGTTGAAGTGTTATTTTGAAACTAGTTGATTTTGGCTAATGAATTACACTAGTAGATATAGATTTTGAGCAATGGATTGTTTTGGTTTATTGATGTTTCCTCAAGACTTCTATTATGGAAAACTATCTTGACATCCAACTTGCCAAATCTCATAATCCGTATGTGCGGCCACAACCAAAAAATATCCGCATAGACTTAAGCATGGCTACAAGATCCCAGACCTCAAACTCAGAAATCATTGCCTTTTTCCAAGATCTCACATCCTTATCTGGAGTGTCTCATCATGTAATCAGAGGTTACTTTCATGTTCACTAGAGTCTTAAGTCCGCAAATTTCTCAAGAACGCCAATCCCATAGAAAATGTTTACCGGATTGAGTCCAAAGTTTCTCTCAAGAACATGAATCTATTGGGCTGTCTTGCAACTCTCCCACTTCAGCGATGTACTATCTACAAAGGTGTATTACTCGTGACACGTTTTTCAGTTTTCTTGTATCACATCTTGTACACCTTTACCTACTAACGAGCTTGTGGTTTATCACTTATTATTCCTCTTGAAATTCGGCATTCGCGTTCACGGTCACCTCCTGGATTATAGTACTATAAAATAAATCATCTTTCGTTTATATGGAATATCCCACGAAACTTACAAACTTTCAAACGTCACTCCAACTTACTAGCATTACCCTTCAACAGTGTGCTTAACTACTCCATAACCGAATATGTTTCAAACTAGGGTTGCCTTGGTCCGTAAATCTATGGAAGTAGAAAATACTAATTAGATGGAACCATGTTCAGAACGTATGCCGTTGTTTCTACAACCCAAAAATAAAAATCAAGAATACCTAGTAACTTATCATTAACCTAACCAATTTCCATAAGAGATTTTTCACTTCGTCCTATCATAACGTCTTGTTCGGGTGTAGTAGGTGAAACCAATGTTGAGTTCAATGAAAGACGTCGATCGATGTGCATGTTTGAACTCTATGAAAATAATCCTAAGTGCAACGAATCTAAAGTTTGTTGGGGCTCGGTCAGGATCGTTATATTTATGCAAGTCACGGACTATCTACGAATTAAACCGTAAGCGCAGCGGAACTAGAAATGAAGGTTCAATGCGTACCATTTAATTTATTTCGACTATGAGGCATTTTGATTTCGGATGATGGAGATCTTCTAAATCGCTCGTCGGTGTTTGTCCCTTTGCGATTGCCTTGTTGCGTCTCGTGGCATCTGAATCACGTCTTGCATCGCCTTGGGCTCCGTACCATTTTGCTGGCTGATCGAGCCCGTCGGAGGGTTGATAGAAAGTCGCTCGATCATCGTCGGAGCTCGGTGGTGGTTGTTGGTGGTCGCTGGTGCACGCTGTCGCACGGAACTGTCGCTGGTGCACGTTGCTCGCGCTTTAGGCCTATTGTCAGCCTGGTGTTGTCGAGACTCTTGTGACTGCGACAGTATCGCGCGCAAGGGCTGAGGTGACTGTGAGAATCTCGCGCACCCGCACGTGCGCTCTCCACATTTGTGCGTCTGTCTACGCACTGCACGCCCGCCTGCGCGCGGCTGGGCCCGTGCACGGGCATCTCCACAACCACACGCGGTTGCGCCTGGCTGTGCGCGGAAGTCCACAGCTGGGTGTGCGGCTGGTCCCTCCAAGGTCGCCGGTGGTCCCCAAGCTTTCAGAAACTTCGTCGATTGTTATTGGATGATAGATGGCGGCTACGAGGCTGTATATATATATATATATGTCCACCTCGGATCTTCTATTGTACGACCCAACATCTTCTCCGTTCGTCTTGGTGGGCAACAATCTCGGAGATATCTTTATTGGGACTTCTAAGAGAAGAAAAGAGAATGATGGGCGGCTATCATTCGTGAATATGCGTGTCCCAACTCTCAATCTCATCTAAACACATAACCCTAATCTCAAGATATGAGATGTATTTATAGGCTACAACAAGGACCCTATAGAGGCATTAAATTGGGCTCCCCGTACATTGGCCTAACTTTGGGCCAAGCCCATTCCACTCATATACGAAGAGTACAGTCATTCCACTAAAGTAGTATTATTGCAACTCCTAATTTAATTCTCAAATAAAATTGAGACTCCAATAATAATTACTCGATTTACTTTCCCGTGTTTAAATTATAATGTTCGTCAAATAATTTAATTATTGACAACCAAATAAATCGACATCTTGAACCGAGACTAGTACAACTCAAATCTTTATTATTAAGTCGGAATAAATTCTACTAGCCAGATTTAACTTAATAATCCTTCATGAGCTCATATCGGGGACGCTATCGCATACGGTTACTGTAAATATTCGAACAACCGACATACACACACCACTACTACCCAAAACACGAAGGCTTTTATCCACAAAATGGATCTCGCTTTTATGAAAAATATTTTGATATTTGTTTGATTGTAGTAGCTCATTGGATTTGTGAAAATGAATTAATACGTTAAATTTTATTTGATTGATTATAAATAATATTTTAATTATAATTTAGAAAGAGAAATAAAGTTTCACAGCCAAACATTTTAAATGTAAAGAAAATCTCTCCACTAATTATCCAAATAAATTCAAGATAAACATGGCATGCCGGATTTATTTTCAAACTAAGCTTTCGACCAACCAACCAAAACTCTAATTTATAAATGATTTAAAATATTAATAGAATCTTTTACCGGTGGAACCGGATTTCAAGCGAATTTTGCTTGTACCATACATAATTTGAAATGTCGCAAAAAAATATACTTAATATGTACTATAACTACTTTAAAATTAACAAATCTATACTTATATAAAAAGGCATTCTATTTACTAGAATTAGTAGTAAGAAAAGTCAAAGGTAATTAATGCATCTATTTCCATCAAGTATTTTATTTAATTATTTTAGTTAATTGTTTTATCTCATAACACCTTTTCAATACAACTTACCATGATTTTTCTATTGTGATTAAAAACCAATTTTATGTTTAAAATCTTGTGAAATTATTATTATTATTTTTATAAAACACATATTATTTGTTAAAAAATTGAATATATATATATATATATATAATACATATCCAGTATCATGGTAGATGATTTAAATTTCAACCGACCGAAATGCCAATGATTTAAATTTGAACACACCTATGCGTTTGACCAAATGTCTGGATGATTTAAGATTGAGCCCATAAAAAATTATTTAAATTTGGACACACCAGAAATTTTATGTACTTTTTATGTATAAATATATTGCAAGTGATATTTAATGGTTGTTATATAAACTATTTTAATATATTTACAATGAATAAAAGTTTGAATAAATAATTTGTAATGTTATTCATAATGTTTGTGACTTATGAGACACGAACACATAACTCCATACATATTTGTCAGAGGGCGGCTTAATAATTTTTTAGACTTAACGTTGATTAAAAGAGGTAGAAAATAAATAATAACATTACTACTTTTTAGACTTAAACGGACAAAGATGTGAAAATAACTTATTTAATATCTTTGTCCCGTGCATCGCACGAGATACGTACTAGTTAAATATATTAAACACGTGAAAATCAAAGTCATTCAATATATCTATATATATAAAAAGAATTACCATTTATCAAGAATAGTAAGTCAATCCTTGGTCAAAATTGGTCAGCATTAATTACATGCCATTTATAGTATCTTTTTAATATTTTTTTAAATGTTGTTATTAAAATGAGGAGTTTGTTACTTTTTATTTTCAAAAAAGTGGGGATGCTATTTAAATTTAGTCTATTGGATATTTGTGATAGTTTGACACAATGTGCATATCAAAAGCTGATAATGCATTGCATCAATTAAATTTGATTATTGGTTACAAAAAGCTATTTTTAAATTTGAATATAAATGTACGTCATGACTGCTAATTCAATTAAACATCGAGCAATTATAATCTTCAAATTTAAAGCCAGATATTCGCCTAATACAATTGTTTTGTTTGGCATCTTTTTTATAATAAAAAAGTTACAACTGATTTAATAATAAAATAAGTTACGTGCTATTTTTCCTAACCATAAAATATACTTTTGTATTTTAAAAATATCGGAGACTTTTTTTTCAATATAACCGCCTAATAGCCTAATACATATGTTTTGATTAGCATGTTTTATTTAACAGAGCAAATTACGGCTAATTTAATTTAAGGGTAAAATATTAAAAAGAAACATTTGTTTATTTCTTTTGAAAATATTTTTTGTAACAATCAAATTGTGAGTCTATAATTGTTTTTAGCTCTCTTGCCCGACGGAAAAAACCCTACCCCCAAATCTCCCGCAGCCCTCAAATTTCTGGTTGAATCGCCTTCCTCGGTGACGGAGAAGCACGGCTAGGGGTCGTCTTTAACCGGCCGACCCTCCTATGACGTTGTGCACGCCTGTTCTGTTGTAGATGGTCGGCTTTCGGAGGTGGTCCGAGGTTCGGCGAGGTCTCTGGATGGGGGATGGAGCCTCTCTAGGTCGGAGTTTTGGCCGGCGACTGGTGTCGTCGTCTTCTCCGTCAGCGGTGGAGTTCCGATTGGTGTTGGTAAGTCTCGCCTCTTTTCCCTTGTCCGCTTTTGTTGGACTCTGCTGTTTCGGCGGAGTTCCACCTTTCAGGTGGGGCCTGGTCCTCTTCTCGTCGGTAGTTTGTGGTGGAGTCGGTGGTGCGTGCGTCATTGGGTGTGGCGGAACTCTGATTGCTGAGGCTTCTCGGGTCGTGGCTGTTGGAGTTTAGAGATCGAGCCACCCTCACCCGCCCTCGTTCCGGCTAGTGGTGTTAGGCGGCGGGGGTCGGGGTTCTACCGAGCTCGGCTAGTGGTGTTAGGCGAGTTCGGGCAGAGCTGGTGTGGGGGTTGTTTGTTTCTCTCTTGGTTGAGGATGGGTTAATTCGGGGAGTGGTTCTTGGCTCGGTTTTGGCTATTGTATAGGCGAGTGTGCAGTTTCGGTAGTTGAATCTTGGGTTAGAATCTCTCTTGTGTTGATCGTTCACTGCTGGTCGGACCTCTTCGTTTGCTGGGGAAGGGCTAGGCTTTTTATTTGTTTTTGTTGTGTCTTTTGTATCTGTTTTAGTTTTTGTCTGTCTTGAGTCCGTGTGTGTGTTATTTTTGGTCTTGTTTTTAAGGTTTGGGCCGTTGGCCCCGGTACTGATTCCCCTGTGGGGGGCGTTTCTATTCTCCTGTGGGGAGCGTTTCATAGATGGTGTTTTGGTGTCTTTTAGTAGTGTGTCGTGTGTTTTCTATTCTAGCGTGGCTAGCGAGGCTCTAGGCGGACTTTCGATCCGTCCTTCCAGTTTCTAGTTCCGAGTTGTAATTTTCAGCCTTGGGCTGCTTTGTTGCACAGTTGTGCGGTTTTGATTTATAATATGCCTATCGTTTCGAAAAAAAAAAAATCAAATTGAGCTGTTTCAATTAAAAAAATAAAGTTGCGGCTGATTAAATTGAAAAAATAAAGTTGCGGCTGATTCAATTATTTTGTTTGACAATTA